AATCTATTTAAGTTTGTTATATTATTTGGGCCACAACTCTTATTCAGCTGTTGGATCCTTCTTCTTTTGGGCTGGGTATCATCCAAGGCCCAAAGTATTTGTCTTCTTCCTGGGATTGAGGTGCAACGTTCATCTTTACAGTTGATCGTTCTTCTGTGTTAGGGATTGTAGGCTTTATGGATTGCAGGTCTGAGGTTGTACAGCGCGATCATCGGCAGTGGCTTGTGGCTTCTTTTCAGTAGAGTAAAGGCAATAGAACTCATTGTGACAAACTCTCCCACAAAGAAAACATATGGAATGGATGCATTCATACTCAACCCTAAACAATCTTCCCCCCAATTAATAATGGGAGATAAGAGGCTTGTTTAGATCTTTCTCCATGCAAATTCTAGCGAACCTCCCTCTTTCCATTGTCGCAATTTTGCCATCCATTGTGATTGGTTTCCCTAGGGATTTTATAATTTGGAATAGAATTGCTTCATCATAGTATTCTAGAGGCAACTCTGGCAATCTTAACCAAAGTGCTGTAGCAAATTCTGTAGCTCTTGATGAAATGAAGTCTGGCTCCCATTTTCGAACTGTGGATAATGGTTCATTATGATCCATGGTCTACCATTGAAGACTCTGTGACAGTTCTCCCTCATTTGAAAAGTGAACAAAAAGAAACCATTATCAAGGTCAATAGCATCAAAGTCACCTTGGAGATTCCATAAATTTCTAACCTTCACACACAACACCTTGTATCTGATGCTTTTCCCTAAAAGCTTTACCAGCAATCCGTATTTCCACTTGCTTCTGATTCTTTGAAGCATCTTAGTAGGGAGATTGATGTTTGCGCACATTTCATCTGAAGTGTCAATCAATGTGTGACTCTTCCCTTTCCCTTGATACCCTTTCTGGTTCTCTTCCTCCATTTCCTCTAGTTCCTCCTCATAGTGTTCATCATAAAAAAATATGGCATTAGCCTCAGCCATGAGTGCTTCCTTGTAGTTCCTAAATGGTTTCTTTCCTTCTGTAGGGAGTTCCTCCTTCATTACCAGCTCTGGGGACTCTTGGGATGGTGATGCTCGTGCATCTATCAGCATTTCGTATTCCTTTGGGTTCCTATGGTGTTCCTTAACCTCTTTAATACTTCTTTCTAGATGGTCCTCCTTTTCTTTGGAAAGGTTTTGCCCTTCTCATGGAATGATTGAAGTGATCGTTGAAGCCTCTGGCTTCTTTATTCTCCTGTCATACTTTTTAGAAGAGAGAAAGCTAGAGAGAATTCAGAGCATTCTGTCTCTCTTTCTTTATACTCTCATACCCAAACACTAATTTGAACTTCTCTCTTTGACTTTGAGTGTATTTTGCTTTCAATTGTTGCTGGTTTGACTCTCTGACTTTGGGTTATTATTGGAATTGGTTTGAATGTATTTTGATAATTGTTCATACTCCTTCTTTATTAACCCTTGGCAAGTGAAAATTTTGATTCGTTTCAGGCCATTAGTGTGAGATTAATCGACGAAAATTATGTTTATTGGGCTTATGTTATTAAAATAATTTTGTTGGAGAAGGACATGTGGAGTTATATTAGTGGCACTAAGGTACAAAAGTATTCTGATTTGAAGAGTACTTGAGATATCAACAATAGGAAAATCATCACCTGGATTAATAACTCAGTTGATCAGACCGTTGGAGTTTATCTAGCCAAAGTTTAGCACAACCAAGGAAATTTGGAATTATTTAATCACACTTTTTGTCCAGTCTAATTTTGTAAAGAGGTATCAGCTAAAGTATAAGATTTGAGATGCGTGTCCAGGGAACAAAAATATAAAAGAATTTTACTCATTTATGACTGAATTTTGGGATTAGCCAGCACTTAATGAACCCATTGAGTTGAACACTAATCCGATATCTTGCACTTTTAGAGAGAAATAGAGACTAATGCAATTCTTGATGGTCATTAGAGATGATTTTAAGGGACTTCGTGGTTTCATTCTTCATTGTCACCTGCTCCCCTCAGTAGGTGTAGTTGTTAATGAGCTCTTAGTTGAAGAAGTTCGCCTTAAAACCTTTTTTAGAAAGGTTCTTCAACTGTTGCCTAATTAGACTATATTGATTGCTCTTTCCAAAATGACCTCTAATTTCCAAACAAGTATTGAAGTTGAGCTGCTTCTGATAAGTGTAGCTTCTGCTGTGAAAATGGTCACCAGAATGCTCAATGTCCTAAGTTGGTGAATAGGAATGTATGGGGGTCTCAAAATCAGTCATTTAAGTCCAAAAATCGTCATACAATAGCTGTTGCATCGCCAGTGAATAAGTCCACCTCATCAGCTCCCAACTTGACTGTGCTTACAGATCAGCTACAAAAGTTTCTCTCACTTCATCAGCCTGGTGCTCTCATAGTTTCTCTCACTGTAGGTTCATTCAGTTTTTGTCCTTTAGGCATATCTCAAACTGCTTGGGTCTTTGATTCAGGTGTCACACATCATATGACCAATGATTTTTCTTTATTTGCATCTATTATTTTTCCTCCATTTGTATCTGTACTTGTCGCTAATGGATCTCAAATGTCATTAACTAGTGTTGGGACAATTTTTTCTTCTAACCTAACACTTTCAGATGTCTATTACATTCTTCAACTTACTTTGAACTTAATTTTAGTGAGCAAACTATTTGACTTTGAATTTTTGTTTCACTTCTCTTTCTCTGGTTGTATTGTGCAGGATCCACGATCCAAGAAACTGCTTGGAACAAGTCGTAGAAAGGGAGGACTATGTGTGTTGGAGGAACTTCATGTCATAGATGTTGCTGCTTCTACTATTGATTTATCTTTTTTTCGTTTGAGTCTAGAGTCATCTAGGTTTTATTTATGACATTCTTGTCTTGGTCATGTTTCTCGTTCTCATTTAAAAGTTTTAGCTTCTACTGGTAGTTTAGAAAGTCATGACATTTTTTATTGTAATGGACGTAATAGCTAAATTTAGTGCATTACCTTTCAATAAAAGGGTTAATTGTTTCCTTGCACTATTTGATCTTGTTCTTTATGATACATGGAGACGGCTCCTGCTGTTCCTACATAAGGAGGGTACATATATTATGTTTTCTTTGGTTGAAGATTATTCGAGGTACTGTTAGTTATACTTGATGAAACGTCGATCTGAGTTCTTGTCAATCTTTAGTATTTTTCATAACATGGTCCGCACTCAATATGGTCCGCACTCAATATTTCACTGCACATTGAATATTTTCGATGTGATCAGAGAGATGAATACAATTTTACTGTGTTTCACAATCTGTTAAAATCTGATGGTACACTTTATCAATCCTCTTGCACTGACACGCCTAAGTAGAATGGTGTTGTCGAACATAAACACCATCATATTCTAGAGACAGCAAGTTCTGTTCTATTACCAGCACATGTTCTCAGCTCATTTTGGGAGAAAGCAGTTCTTACTTCAGTTTATTTGATCAATTACATTTTTTATTGTTCTCACCTCTGGAGTCTCCCCTTTCGAAAAATAATGTGGTAAGCTGCCTAACTATTTTTCTTTACGTGTGCTTGGTTGTACTTACTTTGTTTTGTTCTCTAGTGTTCTTCATACCAAACTTTTTACTCCCTCAACTTTATGTCTTTCTTGGTTATGGTGATGGTAAACAAGGGTATCGTTGCTATGATCCTATTACCTACAAACTTTATATCTCTCGCCATGTTGTCTTTATGGAACATATTCCATTTGTTTTCAATTCCTTCTAGTCTTTCCCACTGAATAAGTCCGGTCTGCTATTTATTGATTCCTTTCCTACTAATGTTCCTCATGATACATATGTTGGTGATTTCACTGTGTCAAATCCTACCCCCTCTGAGTTGACTATACCGTATCCCTCTATTGTGCAAGCATATGTTTGTAAGATTCTAATTATCTCCTCTACAGATGTGGTGTCTTCCCTTGTCCTCTTAACACCCAATCAAGTGTAGAAACTCTAGATTATACCTCACGCTATCCTCAAAGCTCTCGTCAAAATCCAAACAGGTTTGTTTGGAGTAACACTTGTTATTCCTCTGACTTTTGTTATTTTCCTACTTCTATTCACTCCCTATCTGAACCCACCTCCTGCAAGGAATTTTTACGTGATCCACTTTGGAAACAAGCTATAGATGAGGAGTTGACTGCCTTACATAAGACCAGTGTTTGGGAGTTAGTGACTTTATCACTTGGTAAATGCACCATTAGTTGTAGGTGATATATAAGGGAAAAACAAAGTATGATGGTTCTGTGGAATGGTATAAAGCTCAATTAGTAGCCAAAGGTTTTGTTCAGGAGTATGGTCTAGACTATGATGAGACTTTTGCCCCAGTTGTGAAGATGACCACTATTCACATTGTAATTGCAGTTGTTGTCGGTCGTTGATGGAGTTTGTCTTATATGAATGTGAAAAAAAATGTATTTCTTCATAGAGATTTAAGTGAAAAGGTTTTTTTGATTCCTCTTGGATTATCTCATAGTCCTAGTCAAGTATGTTGACTTCACTGAGCTTTCTATGGCCTTAAACATGCTCCCTCTCTCAGTCCAAGTATGTCTTGGATGTTATTTAACGAGCTCATTTATCAGATAATCGGATAGTTAAAACACCTTTAGAGCTCAATGTTTGTTACTCCTCTGCTAATAGTACTCCCTTATGTGACGCTATCCTCTATTGCACTATTGTTGAGAGTTTAGTGTATCTTACAGTCCAATGCGAATGTGACTAAAGCAAAAAAAAACAACAAAAACGAGTGCCTTGAGCTTAAGCGAAAGGTGAGAAAGTGAGCGCCTTAGTTATGCGAGGCAAGGTTATCTTAAATTGTTTTATTTTTATTATGGATCGTCAAATTGGGGCAATTAGAACAAAATTATAAGATGCCCATACACCCGATTACCCCCTTATCCCATAAATACAACACTCAAACCCTAATTTTGCTTAAAGGGTCAGACAACAACTGCTGGTTGATACTGCTCCTTCCTCGCTGGTCAGAGACGATGACTTTTGCAGTTGCTCCATCCTCACTGGTCCATACACAAGTTTGTCTCGTTCTCTTTTTCTTCTCTCTTTTGTTTCACTTCTTCTTCTCGCTTCTAGTTTTGGCTCTTCTTCTCTGGTTCTTCTTCTTTTCTACTTCTTCTTCTTCTTTTATCTCTTTTATTTCTCTGCTTCTTCTTCTCTCTTTTGGTTCTGGTTCTTCTTCTCGCTGCTAATTCTGTTTTTTTTTTCTGCTTCTATTTTTTTTTCTTGTTTTGTTGATTGTCTAATGTTGTGTTTTTTTTTTCTACTTCTGTTTTTTTTTTCTATTTCTATTTTTTTTCTGCTTCTGCTTTTGCTATTTTTTTCTCCCTTCTGCTTCGGCTATTTTTTTTTTCTGCTTTTGATTTTGTATATTTGATGATTCTGATTTTCTATAATATTATTTTGCTGATAGTAGTACTGATTTTCTGTAATGATGAATGATGATTTTTTGTTATTCTGATGCTGATTTTTTGTAATGCGGAATACTGATTTTCTGTAATGATGAATACTAATTTTATATAATCCTGATTTTTCTGTAATTCATTTGAACTTGATGATTTCGCTAGTAGTAGTACTAATTTTATTAGTAGTGTGATAGTGCTGATTTTGTTGATTTCTTGTACTGTTTTGTTCCTTTGATTATTATTAAGATTTGAGATATTATTAGTATTTTTTTTAATCTAAATATTTATGGTTTTACTTGCATTTAAATATTAAGTATATATAAAATTAGAACTTAAATGTTTAGAAGTAATTAAACTAAAATATTTATTTATTTTTAACTGTTCGCTTCGCTTTGGTAAAGCATTTTGATTCGCTTGTCGCCTAAGCTTTAAGAGCCTTGTTCGCTTTGATTCGCTTTACGCCTTAAATAACACTGTTACAGTCATTTATCCAGATATCTCTTATTTTGTTCATATTGTGAGTCAGTTTATCGTCTCACCTACTATTGTTCACTAGGTTGTTGTTCTTTGTATTCTTCGGTATCTCCGTGGTACTCTACAATAGAGTTTACTATTTTCTCACTCCTCACCTTTGGAATTCATGGCTTACTTCAATGCTAACTGGGCTGATGACTCTATAGATAACAAGTCACCACTGGTTTCTGCATTTTTTTTTGGGGGAGATTTTGTTATTTTCTAAAAAATTAAGAAACAAACTGTTGTTACTCGTTTTTCTGCTGAAGCTGAATATCGTGCTATGACATCTACCATAGTTAAGATAGTTTGGTTACAATGGCTCCTTCTTGACCTTAGCATTTCAATATCCTTTCCTATTCTTATGTCCTGCAACAACATCAGTGCTATTCAAATTGCTCACAACTTGATCTTTCATGAGCGTGCAAAGCACATTGAGAATTGATTGTCATTTTGTGCACCATCATCTTCAATAGGGCACTATCACTCTCCTTTTTCTTCCTTCCACCATGCAGATAGCAGAATACTAAGGATAGTTTAGGCATTTTATTGTATGTTGTGTTGGTACTTCTAGGTTAATTAGCATACAGATTGGTTTGGCCTAATAATATTTTCTCTTTTTCTTTGCTCTCTCTGTTTTTAACTTTGTTGATCAATTCTATCAGTAATGATGGACGACAATAATTAGTGCAGGTGTTTGTGGTCGATAACTTCAATACATAAATTATAAACAAATTAAAACTAGATAGATTATTATGTAATTAATCATCAAGTAAATTATAATTAACGAATAAATGTTGGAAGGTGGTGGATAATGAAAGTATATAATTAAGGGATATATTATAAAAGTATTTCTAAAATTAGATTTGTTTGTTGGGATCATGGACTAATTAGTTCAATTAATGAAACTGATTAGATATGGATAATTTATTTCTAAAATTGTAAATATATTGCAGTTGGTGACTAATTTTTCAAATTATAATTAGTAAGGTGATTAATTTTTAAAATATTTAATATTCAAAGTATTTGTAAGGGCAATATTGTCTTTTCAAATGAAAAATTTTGGAAACTATCATCCTATAAACCCTAGTCTTGATGTAGAGGGTTTACAACACTATTTAAATTTAATTATTGAGATTATCGTCTATTGTTATCTTACTAGCATCGGTCAGACGGATGAACTCTGTCTATTTCTACTTTCAAATGCCCAGGGGTTTCCCTGTCATTCTTCTAATGTCGAGGGATTTCCGTGTTTTATCATAGGGTTTGTGTTTTTTCACCTAAAAAGAAATAGCATCATGATGAATCAATTTTTTTGACATGTTGTGAAGTTATAAAATGTCTTTTGATTAAATTATTGGATGCAACAAAACCTTGTAGGCTGGCGTTTTAGAGCAGGGAAACAAGCTGGTAGAACTAGTTGATCCAACCTTGGGATCCGACTACAATCATAAAGAAGCAGAAACGATTTTGGAGCTAGCGATGATGTGCATTAACCAATCCTCTTCACTCAGGCCCATCATGTCTCAGGTTGTGAAAGTCCTCGAAGGAAATATGGATATAAGAACCTTAAAAGATGAGTTGGGATATGCCAAGGTCCTACCCAGTCTCTCTCAGCCCTCACAATCTGGAAGCACTTCACAGGAAGGGACATCAGTCCCTACTCTGTCTCATTCTGTCAGCAAAGAAACTGGAGAACAATCTGGGATATCACAACAAGCGACATCAAGGCCTCTGGATGATGGTAATGTTGAAAAATAAACTTGATGGTTTATCTTTGCTGTGGGAGTTATATTTTTGCATTTAGTTCATGCATGTGTTTAGTGTTGATGGTGTGTTATGAAATGGATGAGTGATGTTTGAATAAGTTTTAGTGGTTACAAGTGTTTTAGTGAGATTGGAATATCAATGTATGGTTATTAGTTACATGTGTGACTGTAGTCTATATATCCTGTATAATCTGTAAGACAATTCAGTATGAGTGAATCAAAAGAGTTCTAGTTTTCTACTCTCTAGTTATTGCGTATTCGTAAATGTTTATAGTTCTGTTGCCTCGAACAGGTTATCCTGCAAAATCACTTGTTATTAAAGTTTATGTTGTGTCTCCTCATGGCTATTGTGTTTTGGGAATTAGTGTACTAAAATTCAACTCCTCTTGTACACTTTGTAATATATCATGAAATGATATACTTTCTTAGCTACTATTGTCATAGATTCTGATCGTCCAAATAACATTGTGGTGTTGATTTCAACGGCACCTACAATACCTTCCAAAAACCTGCATCTACAATGGTTTTTAAAGTCGCTAATTTCCATTGCTTGAAAACAAAGTAACTCTATCAAAGGATTAGATTTGAATTTGAATTTAAATTTAAATTAGATATGAATTGATTTTTTCACCGATATTTAAATCCTTTATATTATACCAAATGGATTTATATATTCCGAATCAGTTATAATTAGATCTGAATTGTGTGTGTGTGTGTGTGTGTTGTTATCTTATGAAATTTGGTGATTATTTGATTAAATTGAGTTGAAATTTGGGTATGATTTGCTAAAATAAAGTCTAATTAAGATTATTGGATATTCATATTAAATGTTTTGATTTTTGACCCATTTGGAAATGCATTGTGAAAATGAAATTGGTCAAAAAATTAGGTTGGATATTTTTTAATGGATTTGAATCGGTGCAAATTTGATCCATTGGTAGGTCTAAGAAACAGATTCCTACATTTGACCCTAGTTAAGTTACGCAGCTGTTGATTCCATGTTTTATGTTATGTGGGGCAATTTTGGTGTCATTTACGATAATTATGATTAACATATTTTGTAGCATACCATACCCGCCACAAAGTGATTCGTTACAAATTAGACTTTCAAACCCCCTTAGGGTCATGAGTCTTCTTTTGGGACTCATTTAGAACTGTTTATAGGGGTGGCTTAAGAACATGTGAGCCTATAGCGATTAATACTTATGAGGATATTTCATTTTTATTAATTTTCTAAAATTTTAAATCAATTTTCATTTTGGATCCTTTATGAGAATGAATAGTTTTATTAGGGTCTTGTACTGAAGTTTTGGAGAAAGTATGATACTTATTATATTTATTTTTGATAGAGAGAGAAAGTCTGATGCTTATTATATTATTTTTGATAGAAGAAAGTAAAAAATAAAATAAATGATATCAGACTTTCTTGTTAATTTTTTTTGTCCTTCAACAAATGTAATTATGTGAAATGGGTTGGACTTTTGGGCCTAAATGTTAAAATTATTTTTATTGGTTCCAATGTGGCCATTCTACTATTTTTTCTATCAGAAATCAACTCATTGTCACTGATAAAAAACTAAAAGAAAGTTAACAAAATGATTATATTGTAACACTTTTGATAAACAATAAAAACTTTTGAGGGGAAGAGGGCCCTTTACAGCTAGAAAATATTCAATGCAACAGTGTCACCATATTATTAGTGGTACATGATATTATCGATCAATAATAATATACCATGTGTGTAATAGTGTATCCCCCTATTTTAGTAACTTTTAATCATCATCATCGTAAATAACTAACACCTTAGAATACTAGGGTTCACTTATCTTATACGGTGTGTTATTATTGTGTGGTGATGCAATGTGTCACCAATGATATGGTATCACCATTACATTGAATATTTACTCTAGTGGGGCCATTTTTTCATTTTTTGGTTGAGACTACGTACTTCATTGTTTCACTTTCACTTAAAATATTAGACAAATTAAACTCTACCTATTTAACTATGGACTCGATTTCACTTTGGTCTTTTGAACCATTGAACTCTTTACATTGTCTGTTTAATTAATTGAATTGATTTCAAATTACCTTAACGCAAAAAACTCGCTATCTTTTGAACGTAAAATGTCAACGTGGTGAGGCAAATTGAAACAAAATCACATAATTTGGAAGGAGAGGGGGGAAAAGGAAATATCTTTTCATCAATTAGTAAGAGACATCAATTAAGAGCGATGTGAAAATAATAACATAATTGAAGATGTAATGTGAAAAATAACAAAGTTAAGTGGAAAATGTGAAAAAAAAAACAAATCATAGTTGAAGGGGTCAAAAGTGTAATTTTCCAAAAATCCAAAAAGTAAGTGGTTAGATTTCTTTCCTATACCAAAAATATTGCCTAGATGAAACCTAATCGAAACCTTGTTTCTGTATGTACTTTCACAAGAATGCTAATTTTGTAGTGTTGCATCTAATAGTTATATTGTTATGTTTTTCTTTTTGCTGATTTGTAAAAACAATCTTACATATGCCTTATTTTTATTCTTGATATATTTTTGTCAATTTTTTTTTTTGTAAATTAATGTGTAGAAATTAATTGCAAAGCATGTAATTAAAAAAGGGGGGGGGGGGGGGGGGGGGGGGAAGTTACTATTAAAATAGTGATATTGATTTTTTGGACGATAGATTTTATACTGCATTGTATCTTCAAGTGCTAGTTATGATTAGTAAATATAGAAGTGATAATATACTAGTTCCCTATGGCCTTTCCAAATGGTTCACAACCCACAGCCCAGTCCCGTGGTCCAATAATCAATCGAACCATAGGTTAGTCTGCCCCATTTCTTTGCATTAGTCATACTTATAACGTTTATAGTCACATGAAAAAAAAAGTTTTTTTTTGGTAACCCTCAAAGGATGTTAATATAATTTATGATAATTCTAAACGCCAATTTGGATCTAGTTACTATAAGGAGGGGAAGAGCTCAACCAACCAATCCTACCTTGGGCAGTGAGCTACCGCTTCAAGAGTGCCACCTCACAACTTTTAGAAGTATACGTCTCCTGTGATATGATTGTCTCTAACGGTTAAATATTCTCAAATGATTCTAACAGATCGAGGGGGCCACACAATCATAGAAGAAGACAAAAACCAACTCTTGTAAATAGAAAAAGATGTCCTACTTCAAAAGGATCAAAACCTCTGTAATTAATCACTCTTTTCTTCTTCCCCAAGCAATACAACAAACACAAGAACAAGAGACTCCATTAACAATGGACATTTACATTTAACTTGTTGAATCATTTATATTCTGGTTCTATTTCCTCACTATGTGGTTGATCACACAAACAATTCACACGCACAATTATTCTGCACTCAAAATCCTTTCATCCACAAAAAGCAAATATCTACATAATGCTACGCTTATTTCAGTAGAATTTTGACTTAATGGAAAACTAAATTGCAGCCAAATATAGTTGCTTCCTTAGTTGATTTCCATCTGGATATTCACTACCATTTTCATTTGCATTCAAACACGATATTTATTACCATTTCCATTGCTATGTAGCTTTTTGTGTGTCTTACCCAATAACGTTCCATGACATTGTGACCAAGATATCTTAGTGCTGGATTTAGGGGCTGTTTGGTAAGTGGAATTGGGGGACTTTGGAAGATGGGTTTAGAAAAAAATAGTTCAAATGACACACAAAACTCATGTTTGGCTAAAAAATTGAAGTCTGAGTTACCAAGCTCATTGCGCTATTGGCCCGGATTTTAAATCCCAGATCATGGATTTCATTTAACCTCGGGGGGGGGGGGGGGGAGTGGATTTCAAATGAGGGTTAACGTGTTTAGAATATAAAAAGACAATTATATCTTATACGCATACAAGTATGGGTTTAGATTCGATTAATGAATGAGTAAAATAGTCATTTATATAAAAATATATTATCATAATGGTGATATATATGTGAGTATACCAAATATGGGTATGGACTACATTCAATATTGAATCCCATTTTTTTAATGAGAGGTTTGAGTTTAAGAAAGTTAATGCAAACACTTCCTAAAAATACATCCAAACAAGCTCTAATGTCTCTCTCTTGTAGACCGACATCATTGTCGCGGCCGCCCAAAAAGAAAATCTCATTCCAATTGGTTGATTTTTAAAAGGTCAATTATATTTTGACCCTCGTGACTATAAGCTCGATTTCACTTTCTCTTTTTAATTATTGAACTTTTCATATTGCCCAAAACACAAACAAACACTATTTTTTAGGGTAAACTTCTTTTTACCTCCTTGTGGTTTGACCCATATGCACATCACTTCCCTCAGGTTTTAAAATGGCACTTAACCGTCTTGTGATTGTTGGACTAAAATGCATTGTTAAAATTTTCATCCATTTTAACCATTCGTGTTTACACGCCTGTGATGCAATTTGGCATACAAGAATGTATGTGGAAAAGACGAAAAAACCCTCAATACCAACACACCCTCATCTTCCTCTTTGCATGGGTCTTACTTATAATGTTTAAAGTCACATGAAGAAAAAAAGTTTTTTTTGTTAAACGTCGAAGGCTGTTAATATAATTTATGATAATTCTAAAAGAAATGTCTCCGAATCTTAGTTGAGTTGTTGATGACACCATAAATCACAATTGAGTTTAACACATTATAGTTCAGTTAGACTAACCTGTCTCGAGCTATCGAGGGCAAGTATACCATCTCCCAACTCACTAAATGATACCCAATCAAAGTTGGCTTCAACCACACCAGTTCTGATCTAGCTACTATAAGGAGAGGAAGAGTTCAACCAACCAATCCTACTTTGGGCAACAAGCTATCACCTCAAGAGTGCCACCGCACAGCTTTTAGAGATACACATTTCGTGTGGATATGATTGTCTCTAACAGTTTAATATTTTCAAATGATTCTAACAAATTAAGGGACCACACAATTATGGAAAAAAACAAAAACCTACTCTTGTATAAAT